CGCTCTGAACTGTAACCCGGGCAGCTGGGCAAGGCGAGGCCTGCTCAGGCCTTGGGCACTAAACCTTCCAGGGAAGAAATACCCTACAGGAAATAATAATAATGCTGTGGTAGGTTCCTTTCGCTGCGGGTGGATACGGAACCGAAGCCCCACGTTAGTGATTGTGCTGCTCTTGTTATTTTTTCAGTGTCATGTCTGTGTTTGCTGTTTTACAGCCATCCACAGGGATGGGATACCCACTCCAGGAGAACCAGAGTGTGCTGGATTCCAGGGAAGAAATACCCTACAGGAAATAATAATAATGCTGTGGTAGGTTCCTTTCGCTGCGGGTGGATACGGAACCGAAGCCCCACGTTAGTGATTGTGCTGCTCTTGTTATTTTTTCAGTGTCATGTCTGTGTTTGCTGTTTTACAGCCATCCACAGGGATGGGATACCCACTCCAGGAGAACCAGAATGTGCTGGGAGGGGTATGTATTTTCAGGTGAAAAATAAAGCGGATACTGTGGCCTTATGTTGTTATGGAAAGATCCTGCCATATCGTCAGGAAAAGGAAGCTGCTGCTCTTCACAGCTTCTGAAATGGGGAGCAGGTTATGCCTTCATTTTCCAGTTAATGAAATAAAAAAGCAGGCAAAGCAATGCTGTAGATCTCCTCCCCTCTCAGAGATGCACACAGCATTTTACAAATGTACTTGGAATACAGGAGCAGAAACTTGTATTCAAAATTTTCAATTAGTGAATTTCTGTGGAGTTCAGAGGAAAAAATAATGAAGCTGAAAAGGGTGATTGATAAGAAAACTTTCCACTGCATGTACTACTGTATAAAACTGTGATTTTATTAATAGGTGAGGGAGGATAAAGTGCACAAAATGGTAGCTGAATATGTGGGAAGCCGTATACTCGGCCCTGGTTTAGAAGATGATAAGTATATGAAATTGGAAAGCAGCTGAACTGATTGCAATCTGATACTCATTAGACTCCAGCCCTGCTGGCAGCATCCCTTCTAACCAGACGTGCGTAACATGCTTTCTTGGCACCTCCACAAAGCCTCGAGTTTATAATGACAATTAAAGTGCATCTTTTCCAATAATTACACAATCTGAATTTGGTCCGTGCTAATAAGCTTTAAGAAAACTTAAATTCCACATTTTAATATCAGAAATCCAGTTAATTATAGGTAATCTCTGTCTCTGCCTGTCACCTGTATGAGCATTTATATTCCTCACCGAGTCTGCAAGGTAATTCTCTGCTTATTGTGGTGAACGTCCTCCTCCTCTATCCCTGCGTTCTCCTGCAGGCCGCGGCTGGCAACCGGCCAAGCTCCTCATGTCTCCTTGCCTTCCCTACGTAGCCCGCCGACCGGGAGCGGCAGCGTGAGTAGCAAACGTTTGGCATGGAGGGCCGAGGTGGCAGCACCAGCAACTTGTCTTCATCATCATCATCACCGCCACCATCACCATCTTCACCGGGTTCCGTTAGAAATGCAGACCTGGTTTGCCTACCCGTGGCTGGAGGCTGGGTGCCGGCCGGCAAGCCTTGCTTCCGCAGCGGGAAAGCTTATGCGAGGCGGCGTGCCCTAAACTCTGCTCTGCTCACCGTCTGGAAGGGGCGGCCAGGTAGAATTTACTTCTCGCAGGAATTTTTCTTTTGCTGATTAGCTGTTTTCCATACTCAGCCATTATGTTGGTAAAATATTTATAGCCATTTTGATGAGAATTGCCAGGAAATGAATTCACCCAGCCTTGCCACCTTCTGATTTGCTTTTTTTCCCCCCAGACTCTGAAACGCGGCGGTGGCTTTGGCTTGCCGCTCTGTTCTCGCTCTCCTTTTCTGTCACACTCAGTAATTGGCCTAATAAAAGGCAGCAACAAGAATTTATTACACCTTGGGCAATACTTGAAACAAACTTTATTTGCTGGAGCAGCACTTTTTGTCTACTTGCTGCTGGATATTTTGACACTCCTTCAAAATATTAAATTTGACTTTATTAAAAGTTAAATCTTGGCTTTTTTTTTGTGATTGCTGCTGGTTTTGCAGTTTCTTAGGCAGAGCAGCACATATATAAACATCTCATTTTACTGAAGTTTCGGAGAGATGATACAAACTGTGCCTAGAGCTCCTTCATTACGGCCAGACTCCCCCAAGCTGGTGTGAACGGAAGGCTAGCTCCTGGTGTGCCTTGTGGGTTAGCCCGGGAAGAATTGCCGTGGCGAACTGAGAGACAGGGACGAGAACTATTCACCTTTTCGGGCCTTTTCCAAGCTTGGGGTTTGATGAAATTTGCCTCAACCAAATGATGCCCTTTACATTTAAAATTTTTTGCAAAAATAATACCGGTAGGAAAAATAAAACCAGGTTAGGATGGTTCCGATGCGATTTCCACTGCTGGATCTGCTTTTATCCTACACACTAGGTGCTAAAGGGATCAAAATGCTTTTGTTTTCTAAAAAGGCCTTAAGAAACAGCAATGCGTCATCCTGGAGCTGTTTATGCAGGAGTTTTTATTCTTTGAAATCTTCCAGTGTTAAAGCAACAAGAAAACATTTAGAATGTCCTTTGGTGGAATCTTATTACACTCGTTATATATGTAAACTGATATTCTTTGATGCCAGCACGTTGCCCATACAGAGAAATCTCTGCACAATTAAATGAAAGGAAAAAGAAAAGGACTAAATAAAAAGTAATATTTTTCTCTTATCTGATCAGAATTAAATACATTAACAAATTGTCTGGTAACACAAATAGGCAATAATACAAAAAATCTACATTGTACAGTATTTCAAGAAAAATAACTTCATTTGAATACAAAAGGATAAATACACTTTTTGTCCTAGAGCCACTCTTGTACAGCAGGTGAACACGGCATCGTCCTGACGCAGTGCTGCTAAGGTATACAAGGGTATGACTGGCTTGAGTTTGACCGAGGGGCTGTTACACATGTGCATCACTAACATCAGACAAAGAAACCTTTCAACCAACAGGGGTTACAAAGCGATGGTCACTAAGCACAGGTCGGGAAGGATCTGGGGGCTGAAGCAGGCCAATATGGCAGCTTTGACGGATTTCCTTATACCGGCTGCCCAAGCCGTTCCAGTCCTGCGTAAGCTTTGCAGCTAGCGTGGATTTGACGGGATAGGCAGCTGCCAACTTGTCCCAAGTCAGAGGTGAACAGTCTTGACTCAGAGCCCTGCCCGTAACTGATTGATATGGCTTCGTTCAGTTAGGCCGCCCGAGTTGGTACGCGGTTATTTTTTCTCTCTTTTTTTTTTTCCCTTTTCCAATTCCAGTGGCAAGCGCTTGGGGGTGGTTTGGTCTCCCCGTGGCCGGTTC